ACTTAGAGTGCAGTGGTAGTGAGGGGCATATGTAATATACATATTTGGTAGAATGGAACTCCCAGGTCTTCTCGTTTCTTGAGTCCTTAGCCAGTACTTCTATACCCCACAAAGGGGTCAACTCCTTAAAATTGCCTCTTCTCTCAGGTGGCTCTCTTTTTGCATCAGCAATCATATCTGTTTTGAGTGTGTTTGTCTCTTATTGGTCCAGTAGTTTCAGTGACACGGCCCAAGGAGTGAGAGAAGAGGAAGTCACCTTTTTCTTACTCATACAGAGTTATGCTTCCACAAAATATTCCCAAGTCTCAAATCCTTCACTACTATAGATTAGCAAACCTAATATTTTTATACATAGGCCCAAAGGGGTATAACTGATTTTCTCAGCCAATAACCAGCTATTTTCTGGTATCATTTGCCTTCATCCAATTGCTAAAGCTCAATAATCCTCTCCCATTTATTAAGAATACATTCACACATTGTGGTGAGATTGTGGGAAATTTCCTAAACGCTTATATCTTGTGATTATATTCTGGACCCACTGATTGAATGATTTTTTTGACTGCATCAGTTTGTGGGGAGGGAAGGAAAAGAATAAGAAATGGAGGGAAATCACAACACCATAGGCCCATGGTACCACAAAAGTCATCCAAACTCCCTCCTGCAACATTCCTAGCAATGGGCCAACCAGCCTCCTCTTGAGCCCTTCTAGTGGCAGAAAGTGTTGCTAGAACTTATAAAGCAACCCATTTTATTTTGGGGGAAGTTCTAATTTGTATAAGGTTCTTCCTTGTATTCCTGTTACTATCCACTGGTCTAGTCCTCTACTATGGATTTACATAGAATATATTTAGATCTTTTCTCACATATGAGAGAGGGACCAGACCTATCACTTCATTGATATTGAAAACTTCCAGATGAAGAATTTCAAGATGAAGGAGACCAGCACCTTCTTTACAATTTATAGTCTTAGAGAGATGCCTAAAGCAATGATGTCACACTCAAGTAGAAACTTGCTAGCTATACAGAGCTGTAGACCACATATTAATTTAAGTTTTAATTTTAAAATTTTAAAATGTTATATTATCTGTGTTTTAGTGTATTTTTATTTAGTTAATTAGATATTTTCCAACTACATTTGAATCTGTTTTGGTTACACTTGGGAGTGTTGTGGGTCTCATGTGGCCTGCAGGGTGCATGTTTGACACCACTCACCTAAAGCATTGAGATGTTAAGGAATCTTCCCATGATCACATACGCAGCTAGGTGGCACTATGAATAGAGCATAGGGCCTGGCTTCAGAAAGACCTGAGTTCAAATCCAGCCTCACTTATTAGCTGTGTGATCCTGGGCAAGACCTGTTTTCCTCAGTTTCTTCATCTATAAAATGAGTTGGAGAAGGAAATGACAAACCACTCCAGTATCTTTGCCAAGAAAACTCCAAATGGGGTCATGAAGAGTTGGACACAACCAAAAACAACTGAGCAACAAAATATGTCAGAGGTGAGGCTTGAACCCAAATCTTCTTGATTCCAAAGCCCCCTCTCTATCCACGACACTACACTACCTTGACATCTTTCACATGTCCATCTTATAAATGTTTGGAAGATAATTATCATATTCTCCCTAAATCTTGTCTCCTCCTGGCTAATGATTCCCAGTTGCTTCAGTTAACCTTTATGAGGCATGGTTTAGTTTCCTCATCATTCTTGTCACCTCTCCCTGAGCGTGGTCCAGTGTGACAATGACTTTCCTAATGTTATGGGTGCACTGGTCAATAGGAATGCATGAGCCAGGCAAAGCCTCCTGTGCAAGAATGTCACCAGAGCTTTTTCTGGGAGATTGGGGGAGAGAAAAGAGTGAATGAATGAATGGGAGCAGCTCAAGCAGGGCTTTCTCAGCCCAGCTCAGGTTATTTGCTTTTGGAGGACTCAGACAGCAAGCAAAAGCTACCTCCTGAGGAGAAGCCCATTTTACATTTTCCTTTGTATTAAAAGGATAGAAATGAGGGAGACGGCTGAAGCAAAGTGGGGAAGTTGAATGCCTGGTACCATCCTATTTGCTCAAGCCGAGTTGCCCTCAGGAGGGACTCCTGAAGTGCTCTGAGGTTCTGTATTCCAACAATAGATGCTTATCTACTATAGAGTTTTGGTAATGAGTGAAAATACTCGGGCTGACTCCTGCTGACACTGAGATGGAAAACTGGATTTTTGGCTTATCTGTTGTTAGGGGGGATTGGTGTAGGGATTGAAAGAGGGTCACAGACTGGGGAATGTGCATGTTGGGTGCACCGATGTTAACTTGGTTTTCTTCACTTGAATTTGTCATTGAAAGCCCATATACAGTATATATTTGTAAATTCTTTAATGGAAACCCTACCAAGATAATGGGAAGATCTAGCCAGACTAGGGATGAGTCACGATCAGATTTGGTGGGAACACTCATCTGTACCCTGAATAAAGTGAATGCTACACGCAAAGGAGTAAAACCATGGGGTAAATGGTTTCCAGTTTCTCTGAAAGGCGCATAGAGGCACAGGGAGCGTGATGTTTTTCCAGAGCATCCTTGTATGTTGGGGGGTGCATAGGACAGATTTGCTCATAAAAGGCATTTGGGTGGGGTTTTAGATTGATGTTGGTACCTCTGCAGCAGATCAGCATCTATTGTTGTGATACATAAACTCAGAGCACCCTGGGAGGTTCTCCTGAGGGTGCAGTAGTGTAAGCAAGCAAGGCAACACCAGGCCCTGCATGAAGAGTCTCAACTCCCTTGTTTCTCACAAATCTTCTCCCTTTGTCCCTTTAGTCCAGAAAAAAAAAGTCTTTGAGGAGTCCCCACTGGAAGCTGGTGTCTCCCGTCAAAGTCCCTTCAAAATCAAATGATATAGGAGAGGGTGCGAGCAAAGCTGTTGCTGCTTGCTTGTACTTTTCCCTCCCTCTGTCTCCTTGACAAAGCCCACAAGCTGGTGATGTCTCCTACAAGGTGCACTCTGCCTGGTGAGCATCTCTGCGGGCTGGCACATGTCCTACACTAAATGAGGCCTCTAGACTCGAGTACCATACGTATAGATGTGGCTTGATCATGACAGCTCACAGTAAGGGTGATTATCTCTCTTTTCCTAGACAGTGTATAACAGATATTTCAAAAAAGTACATCATTGAACAAAAAATAAAAGTTTCTTTACTAGAAAACTAGATTGCAATGAAGCTAGTTTATTAAAATTCTGAACCCTCTACAATATTCTTCCTAACACAAACAAATGGAAAAAATTATAATTTAAGTGTAGGGCAGCTCAAAATCTGAGAGGCTTAGATGTATATAATAAAGACAGGAAATAGAAACAAATGCTTGAGGTGGAGGGGGCTGCCCGGGGGGTGTGTTGGGACCAGCTCTAATCAGCAGGTGTTAAATTTCAGTGTAAATTTTTTTTCCTATGGTGTTTTTTTTAATTAATTAATTAATTTTTAGTTTTCAACATTCACTTCCACAAGATTTTGAGTTCTAAATTTTCTCCCCATCTCTCTCCTCCCCCACCCCAAGGTGGTGTGCATTCTGAATACCCCCTTCCCCTAATCTGCCTGCCTTTCTATCACCCTACCTTCTCTTATCCCCTTCTCCTTAGGGCAGAATAGATTGGTATATTTCTATACCCCATTGCCTGTATATCTTATTTCCCAGTTGCATGGAAAAGCAATTTTTAACATGTGTTTTTAAAACTTTGGGTTCCAAATTCTCTCCCTTCCTCCCTGCCCACCCACCCTCATTGAGAAGGCAAGGAACTCGATACAGGTTATACTCAATGTGAAATTTTTCACCTCAGAAGTCTTCAAATGTTACAAGTTAGGGCTAGATGTATGGTTTTCTGGATTGTCTAAATTTAGGAAAGAGTAGATAAAGCAGATTAAACTTAATCGTGTTTGTATATACATTTCTTATACCCCACACTGATTATTTAATCGAAATATTTACCAGCATGCCCCTGTATAAACAGTTTAAACTCAGCAGTACTGCAGTAGAAGGCTCAGGGAATGAAGACTGTAGGCCTGTTAACTGTAGAATAGTTAATAGTAATAATAATAATAATAATAACTGGCATTTATATAGTACTTTAACGTTCTCAAAGTGTTTTAGATCCACATCTCATCTGAGTCTCATAACACCCCTCACAATCTCATTCATAAAAAAATGCATAAGAAAATAAAAGAGTTTGGGGTTCAAGAAAATTGGAGGGCCTAGAAATCTAACTAGCATTTTGTAGTTTATGGAGAGGGCAGCTCCTGACAGATTTCTAAAGGGGTGAATATTGGTAATGAGGGATTAGATTAGAATTAGAGGATTTCTAATCCTAAATCAGATAGAAGGTTGGGGCAAGAATGTAGATTAGTTAGCAATAAGAAGTAAGGTTTCAAAGATGGATTAAATGTCTACTGGTGTTGCTGAGATGGCTGGTTGCTTTGTTTCCAAAATATCTTGACCCCTCGAGGTGAAAACTTCTGGAGATAAAAAGCTCCCCATAGCCAACACTCTGAGAACTGATAAATCATCATCTCCTTGTATGGAGAAGAACAGATGAAGATTTTTCCTCAGTCTGAGACTGGTATGTGAAGGGCTTGTTTCCCTAAAGAACTTGAAGAAGAACTTCTGGATTCTAAGCTAAAAGAGAGGCCATTACAGCCCAGTCTTCTTATGGGAAAAGGTAGCCCATCAGCTGAGAGTTCCAGCTGAAGCCAGAAGCTAGAGGCAAAGCAAAGGTCCACAACCACGTGCCCAGTAGAATGCAACAGTACAATGCAGTGCCTGGCAGAGTACATGCCCATCATGCCCACATACCCATCAGAGACTACAAACTAGATGTAGTAGAGGTAGATGGGGTTTTTATCTGCGTCTATTGTTATTCACCCTGAGGTATAGACTCTATGCTAAATAACCTCTTTAAACTAACTGTGGGATTGTCGAAGATACATACATACACTTGTTCTCTAACACTTGTCTACTATTTCCAGGAGCTTTCCTAGTTCCATACTTTGTTGCCCTGATCTTCGAAGGAATCCCCCTGTTTCACATTGAACTCGCCATTGGTCAGCGCTTAAGGAAAGGTAGTATTGGGGTTTGGAGCACCATCTCACCATACCTTAAAGGAGTAGGTACGTATGGGATTTCATTAGCGGAACATCTTCATAGCTATTCCGTTCATACACTTCGTTCACTAAGTTTGCTGATTAAGAGCAATCTTATTGTAGAAAGTGCAGAGAAGAGGGATAAATTAAATATAATTAAGTTTTATTGGTTCAATGTGACAAATATTCATTAAGTACCTACTCTATGTAAGGTACCATTACTGGTGCTCGAGTTACAAAAGTGAAACAGGACATAGTCTTTGCCCTCAACCATCCTATAGTCTAGTAAGAAAATGTGTACATGAAAGTATTTCGATATAATTTATTAAAAATTAGAACTCAATAAATGATTAGGAAAGGTCCAAGTAACCAGAGAAGCATGAAAAATTTTAGAAGGGAAAGATCATTTTTAGCTTGGGGTATCTAGGGAGGTTTAATGAAGGATGAGATGTTAGCTGTTAGAGATGGAGGAGAGACCCGTACAGGAATGGGAGACAGTGGAAGCAAATGCAGGGAGGCAGAAGAGAATAGTCAATAGTTAATATTTAGTAAGCACCTTCCATGTACACTGTGCTAAGTGCTGGGGATACAAATATGAGAGAGACAGAGACAGAGAGACATAGAGAGAGAGACAGAGACAGAGATTTCCAATCCTCAAGAGTTTACAATCTAATGGGGAAAGATAAAACACAAAAGAAAACCAAAAAGTTAGGAGTAGAGAGTGAGGAGAAGGTACCCAATGTGGGTGCATGGTCTATAGAGAGGTCAGTCAGAGAAATCCCAAGGTAGAACAGTCAGATGAGAAATGAAGAAATGTCTGAGCTGAGTTCTCTCCTTAAATGGAGGTTTGGAGTTCATGGCCCCACCTTCCAATCAGAGAGGAAGAAGGTAGTGATGAGGTAGAGAGTTACAGCATGATGAGGTTACCCAGATGAGCTTCCTGGGGCAAGGTGGAGAAAGATTTTAGAAGGGTGAGGTGATTTTAGATCTAGGGAGACCAGAGGAATCCCAAAGTAGCACAGCCAGGTAAGAAATGAGATGAGATTAGAAAATGACAAATATACACTAGTTTGGTCAGTATGTGAAGAGGAGTAGTATATATTCTAGAAGGCTGGCAAGGTAAGTTACAGCCAGATTGTGGAAGGCCTGAATGCCAGAAAAAATATTTTATACACATCTTCATTTATCAGCAGGGCGCTACTGATGGGTTTTGAGGACAGGGGTAACATGTGAACTCAATAAGGTCACCCAATAGAACTTAGCAGTTTTGGTTTATTTGGGAAAAGAAAAACATCTTACTGATTTTTTGCTGATTCCATGTAATTCAACAAACTTTTTTGTGAGCACCTACTATGTGCAAAGTACTATGCCAGGTGCTAAGAGATTGAAAGCTCAACGAGACACACAAGCATGTACACAAATAGTTATAATATACAATAAAATGTGGGGGAAAAAAACCAGAAATGATGATGCTTGTTTGATGTTTACAAACCCAGACTTTGTAACAAAAGACTTTCTTTCCTATATTTTCCAGGCATTGGATGTTTTTTTGTTTCCTTCCTGGTGAGCTTGTATTACAACACCATTTTAATGTGGGTGTTGTGGTATTTTCTGAATTCTTTCCAAAGCCCCCTTCCTTGGAGTTTTTGTCCCCTAAATGAAAACAAAACAGGTAAATAGCAGGTGGGTGCCTCACTATGTGTCATTTTGGGAGGTCAGAACTCCATCTCTTCCTGTAGCTGTTTTTTATAACCCAGACAATTCACCAAGAGTCGACAGGACAAACACAGTCTGCTTGAAATTTGTGAACTCTGTGTGTGTGTGTGTGTGTATGTGTGTGTGTGTGTGTGTGTGTGTGTGTGTAAGGTATTTCAAAAGTCTAAGCTTTGGTAGTATCATTGTTGGGTTATGAACCTTCCCCTCACACACACACACACACACACACACACACACATACACCCCATATCTATCGATACAGCAACTGCCTGATCTTTCTATTGAAGAAAGGGCTTCTGAGGCTAGGCAGAATGAGTAGGGAGCTCATGTAGGCTGCCCCAATGCCTGCCAAGTGATAGCAGGGGTACCACTGCTTTGGGGATCTTATAGTCTGGCCTGGTCCAGAAATCCCTTCAATTTTAGGGGAGACCCTCCTCTCATCCAGAAGGAGAGAGTCACAGACAGGAAAGATCCTGATGGAGCTTCTGCTTAGAGGTGGGGCAACCCCAGGCTCCTACCTTCTGACCCTATTTCCAAGCAGCTAGCTCATCCTCTAAAAATCAATTAATCAAGAAGCATTTAAATGTAGCAGGCACTAAGCCCTGGAGATAAAATGTAAGATGAGACAGTCCCTGCTGTAAAGGAGTTTGTATACTACCAGGGGACACAGCACGTTTACAGAAAAGTAAACATGGGAAATGTGCAAAATACATGCACATCTAGAGGAATCAGAAAATGCTCTTTGAAGGAGTTAGCACTTGAATCGAGCCCTGATGGAAGCTAGGAGATCCAAAAGGTAGAGGAGGGGGAGGGAGAAGAGAGGGAGGAGGGAGAGGAGGGGGAAGGGGAAGAGGAGGGGGAGGAGGGGGAGGGGGAGAGGAGGAGGATTCCAAAGACACAAAAGTGGGAATTTAAATATCATGAAGAAGAAACAGAAAGTGAGTCAGTCAGAGGGTATGAGGAGGATGGATCTGTAATCAGCCTAGAAAGATACAGGCTGAGAAAAGAGTATGATGGGCTTTAAGTACCACACAGAGGAGGCTGTATTTTATCCTGAAGACAACAGGGAACCATGGAGGGTTCTTGAGAAGAAGAGTGACAGGTCTTCTGGACAGTGTCCAGAATTTGGGGTAGCTCTGTGCTTCTTTGGAGTTTGGTGTAACCTGGGGTTCGAGCCTGATGTAGTTGCATAAAACTCTTCTTATTGGTGGAGAGAATGGTTACTCTACCCAGAATTGATGAGAACTTGGGAGAGAAGAGACCTCCTTGCTTCTAGCTTCCAGAGAAAATATGAGAGACCCCAGCCTCTCTTCAAAGAGAAAGGCCTGAAGAGAGAGAAATTTGTCTTTGGGAAGACACATAGAGGAAAACTGAAGCCTCTTGCTCTCAATTGAAGTAAGCTGGAAATCAGGGACATTTTGAGGCTCTGCTTCCTCAAGGTGGTGCAGTAGACAGAATGCCAGATCTGGAGTCAGGGGGACCCAAGTTCAAATCCAGCCTCAGATACTTATTATCTGTGTGACCCTGGGCAAGTCACTTCACCCTGTTTGCCTTAGTTTCCTCATCTGTAAAATGAGCTGGAGAAGGAAATTGCAAACCACCCCAGTATCTTTGCCAAGAAGATGCCAAATGGAGTTACAGAGATGTGGACTTGACTGAAATGTCTTAACAATGGCTTTCCAAAATCTATTTCCTCTCTCTCTAGGGCTTTCTTTCTGAAGAAAGCTTGAGGCTCCTTGTGTCCTCTTTCAAAACCAAAAGCAAGAAGACATCTTCCTTCTCCCAAACACTGCCCTTTGTTATGGAAATACGCAAGGCTTATATTATAGGTTACAGTGGGAAGTGGAGATTCCTGGTTCCAACTTCTCCATATTCCCCAACCCACTGTGGTAGAGTGCCTTCATTTAACACCTCGAATTTCAGCATGGCCTGGGGTAAAACCTTATTTGCCTCCCCCTAGTCATGACTCTGAGCTGAATTATTACTTTTTAGGGAAGAAAAAAAAAACCCAAAACAATGCCAACAATGGAGTTTGGATTCACCCAAACCTTAAATTCATCATTTAGGTGCTGTAATGGTCCCCGAAGCATTAATCCCACTATTTCTCAACAAACATTCAAGTCAGCAATCACTTACTAATAAGTGCCTACTATCTGCAGAGAACTTGGCAGGGCCAGGCTGGAGATGCAGAGACAGACACAACACCAGGACTGCTTTGAAAGGCTTGACAACAGAATGAAAGGAGTCTGCAATCATTTGTGGGCTGTGGTACACGGTGGCCTTGACAGTGACGTGTGACGCTCTTTGGTTCACAGGGCTTGTTGAAGAGTGCCAGCTTAGCAATACTGTGAATTATTTCTGGTACAGGCAGACGCTAAACATCTCAGCAGACATCAATGAAAGCGGGACCCCACAGTGGTGGCTGGCCATGTGCTTAGTGGCCTGTTGGACGATTGTGTATATCTGCATTATCAGAGGTATTGAGTCCACAGGAAAGGTGAGAATGTTATTAAGGCCCCCTGTAGAAGCTGAGCTGTTTGCAGTTGCCTCTTGAAATATGAAAAATGCTTCCCTAGTACCTGCGGTGCTTTTGAAGAGGGAACGGAATCTCAGGCTCCTTGGCTGCCACTAAGGTGTAAGGCCCTAACAGTTAAATTGGTTGTCCTAAGCGCAACACATGCTTCTTTTGCTCCTAATGTGGGGATTTGTTTGGGTAAAAAAAAAGCACAGAGAGAGAAGCAGCTGGGAGAGTGGATTGTGGCTAGACTGTGACCTTAGAGTCAGAATGACCTGGGTTCAAGTCTCATCTCTGACACATACTCATTGTGTCACACTGATTCAGACACTGAATCTCTCAGTTATTTCCTCTAAGACTACAAATTGCAGAGAAATTGCTTATCTGCACTGCTAAAGGTATACTTAAGGCGTATTCAAGTGACCTATGACCTTTACTGTACCTTTGTCACCTACAAGGGATAGTCAGACTTTAGTTCTCTCCCATAATTCTGCCATGGCCATGATTTTGAACTCTGAATTTTCCCTCTCTGATCATAAGCTCCTGTTCTTCCTTTTACCTTTGTCACATTCCTTTGAAACCTATTCTCTTTTTCAATTTGATCTCCAGTCATTCCTCTGTTCCTGTTCTCCCATTCCAACACCCATGTTCTAGTCTTGCTTTCCTCAGTTTATAGTCTTGGCCCTAAAACTAGTCAACTAAGTCAACTAAACATTGTCCTCCACCTTTGATTCACTTACCCAATTCTTCTGTCATTCATGCCCTGCCAAGCCTCTATCTATACTAGATTTGAAGTCAGAGGATCTGCATTTGAATTCTGGCTCTGCTGCTGTATGCCTGGACAAGTTATTTAATCTCTCTGAACCTCAGTTTCTTCATCTGTATAATGAAAATGTTGGACTACGTGACGTCTAAGGTCCCTATCAGCTCAAAATCCAGGATGTATCAAAAGCCTTGGTGTAGTCTTAAACTTTCTAATAAGCTTTAAAAAAAATAGTGGTTTTGATCCCCTCATATTTAATTATTAATTAAGAAGCTTATTTAAAAAGCTTAAAACTGCACCAAGACTCTTCCTCTTTTTCTTCTTCCTCTTCCTCCTCTTCCCCTTCTTCTTCTCTCTTTCTCTTCTCCCTTAATCTTATTTGCTTCCATGTTCTCCCAAGGAGAAGGGCCCCTTTTTTTCAGAGACTGGAGTGCCCCTCCTTCCATTACATTCTTTAAAAGCACAATAGGCATTAGCCAACTTATATGTGAAATTATCGTTACATGCAAATGCAAATCCCAATCTATGTATCTAGCTATAATCTTTCTCTCCTCATCTGTAGTCCTGTATTATCCAGTCATTCTGGATGTCTATTCCTGGCAGACTCATCAGCATCTCAAACTCAAGACATCTAAAACAGGATTCATGGTCTTCCTCTCTAAACTCCCCTCTTCTCTCTCCTAAATTTCCTATTCCATTTTAGGGTACCACTATCCTCCTCCCAGTCACCCAGGTTCACAATCTCAGCATCATCCTTAACCCTTCCCCCTTCCTCATTCCCCATATCCAATCAGTGACAAGTATTAGCAATTCTACATGTAGAATTTATATAGCAATTCTACCTCCACAGCATGTCTCAACACTATCCTCTCTCTGCTGATGAAGCTATTATTATACTTTAAGTGTCCATCACCTCTCATCTACACTACTATTTTAGCCTCTTAATTGGTCTCCTTGCTTCCAGTCTTTCCCCTCTTTAGCCCATTCTACAAACAGATTCTGAATTTATTTTCAAAAGATATAGTCCTGACCACGTCACTCCTCTGCTCAAAAACTTTTAGTAACTCCCCATTGCCTCTAGGATAAACTACAGAGTCTCTCTACAATCTGGCTACTGCCTATCTCTCCAGTCTTACCCCATATTTCTCTTCACAAACCTGATGTTCCAGTCAAATCAATAACTGTTCTTAAAACTCAACATGCCATCTTTTGCTCCCACACATGCCCAGTGCATAAGTGCTTGACTTTTCATCTCTACCTCTTAGAATCCTTGTTTTCTTCCTAGGCTTAGCTCAATTGCTTTTTCCCAAACCCTTCCCTGATCTCTCCAATTGTTAATATTTTCTCCCTCCTTAATTTACCTTGTAGCATACCTATTTGTAGGCATGTTGTTGAGTATGGTCCCCATTTCACTAAAACACAAACTCTCTGGGGGCAGAGACCGCTTTGTCCTTTGTACCATCCTCCTCATTCAGCACTTTACACATAGATAATTAACAAATATTTGTTAAATCAAATTAAACTAAATGGAACTATGGGTACATGCAGGAGATACGAAGCTCGACACCATCCAGTTTCCTAGTTAAACCTCACAAGTAACGTAGAAATGGAAAACGTAACTGCTATTGTAATCCCACAAGAACATGCCTTGGTCCTGATTACTTATTTCCATTCTCCAAAATCTTTCTAGAAAACCCTCTTTGGTGGCTCTCTTCCTGAAAGAAGCATGGGCAGGGTGGGTCACGGGGCTCTCCCCATGTGGTGTATCTTAGGGTCTTCTAAAGATCTTAACAACAATCCAAGTAACACATAAAGAAAATATTCCCTGGTTCAGCAGCCATTCATGATTTCTCCATTCTTTTGTGCAGGCCATTTATTTTACTGCCCTCTTTCCTTATCTGGTCTTGACTGTCTTCCTCATCCAAGGACTCACCCTACCTGGAGCTACTGAAGGATTAATTTACCTCTTTACACCTAATGTAAGTACAGGTAGGTCTCGCTGAGTCTGTATAAAAGGGGCCCAAACCACTAGGCAATCTGGAAAAATCAGTTAAAAAAAAAAAGCTCTCCCTACCCCAAGAAATCCCCACAATTCTACATCAGTTCTCGTACAAGATAAGTTGGTATGAAATGATGAATCAAAGTGGTTGATACAGTCATTTTCCTTAGGCCAGAAGAGCTCAGCCCTAGTTTTATTTGACTGCTATTAAAAGGAATAGGTTTGATTTGAGGCAAACAAATTTAATAAACATATACTCAAGTGAAAACTAGCTCAAATACCTTCCCTTGTTTTGCAGAGTTATCAAAGAACCTAGTTCTCAAAGGTCTGAGTGTCTCACAACAGCCTTATAATTGGTTCACCTGTTGGGTGAACAAATTCCTTACCTGCATGAGGTAACCTTATAATGTTACCAGCAGCCTTCTTTCAAAGTATATTAAATCTTCTGTAAGTTCCTTCTACTGAGACCATCTGGTTACTAAATGTTCTCAGAAGGATCTTAGGATCCTATATTTAGGGCCAGAAAAAAACCATAAGGGTGATCTATCATCATCAAATTCCTCTTTTTACAAATGAGGAAATGAAGACCCAAAGAGGTTCAGTGACTTACCCAAGGTCACACTGGCAGTAAGCAACAGAGAACAAATTTGAACCCTCTAATACTAAATTCAGTCATCTCCAGACTGTTTTTTATTTTTATTTTTAATAGTATTTTATTTTTCCCCAAATTGCATGTTAAGACAATTTTTAGCATCTATTTTTACAAGATTTTGAGTTTCAAAGATTTCTCCCTCCCTCCATCCTCTTCCCTCTCTAAAATGGTAGGCAATTTGATATAGGCTATATATGTGCTATCACATAAAACATATTTGCATATTAGTCACAGTTGTGAAAGAAGAAACAGATCAAAAAAAAACCAAAAATGAATAAAGTAAGTAAAAAAAATATGCTTCAATATGCATTCAGAATCCATCAGTTCTTTATCTGGATGTGGATAGCCTTTTCCTTCATCATTGCTTTGCTGAGAAGAGCTGAGTCATTCAGAACTGATCATCACTCAATGTTGCTGTTATTGGTGGACAATATTTTTCTGGTTCTGCTCACTTCACTTTACATCAGTTTGGACAAGTCTTTCCAGGTTTTTCTGAAATTTGCCTGTTCATCATTTCTTATAGCACAATAGTATTCCATTACATTCATATACCACAACTTGTTCAGCCATTCCCCAATTCATGGGCATGCCTTCAATTTCCAATATTTTGACACCATGAAAAGGGCTGCTATAAATATTTTTGCACACTCAGGTCCTTTTCCCTTTTTCATTTGGGATATAGACCTAGTAGTGACATTGCTGGATCAAAGGGCATGGATAATTTGGTTGCTCTTTGGGCATAGTTCCAAACTGCTCTCCAAACTGAGGAATGATTGGACAAGTTCACAACTCTGCCAACAAAGGCATTAGCATCCCAATTTTTCCACATCCTCTCCAACATTTATCATTTTCCCTTTTTGTCATATAAGCCAATCTGACAGGTGTGAGGTGGTACCTTAGAGTTGTTTTAATTTGCATTTCTCTAATCAAAGGTGATTTAGAGTATTTTTTCATATGACTACAGGTAGCTTTAATTTCTTCATCTGAAAGCTGACTGTTCATATCCTCTGACCATTTATTAATTGGGGAATGGTTTATATTCCTATAAATTTGACTTAATTCTCTATATATTTGAGAAATGAAGCCTTTATCAGAGACATTTGTTGTAAAGAGATTGTTTCCCAGGTTTCTGGTTTCCTTCTATCTTGGTTGCATTGGTTTTGTTTGTACAAAAGTCTTTTATTTTAATATAATCAAAATTATCTATTTTACATTCTGTAATGCTCTTTATCTCAACTGGTCATGAATTCTTTTCTTCCCTGTAGATCTGACAGGTAGACTATTCCTTGCTCTCCTAGTTTGCTTATGGTATCACCCTTTATGTTTAAATCATGTGTCCATTTTGACTTTATCTTGGTATGCCATGTGAAGTATTGGTCTATACCTACTTTGTGTCCTACTGTTTTCCAGTTTTCCCAGCAGTTTTTGTCAAATAGTGAGTTCTTATCCCAAAGGCTAGAGTCTTTGGGTTTATCAAACACTAGGTTAATATGGTCATTGGCTACTGTGTCTTTTGTACTTAATCTATTCCACTGATCCATCACTCTATTTCTTAGCCAGTACCAGATAGTTCTGACGATTACTGCTTTATAATATATTTAAGATCTGGAATAGCTAGGCCACCTTCCTTTGTATCTTTTTCACTCATTCACTTGATATTCTTGACCTTTTGTCCTTCCAGATGAATTTTGTTGTTATTTTTTTTTAGCTCCATCAAATAATTTTTGGTAGTTTGGTTGGTATGGCACTGAATAAGAAAAATTACTTTAGGCAGAATTATTATAATTTTTATTATATTAGCTTGGCCTACCCACAAGCAATTGATATTTTTTCCTGTTGTTTAGATCTGACTTTATTTGTGTGAAAAGTTTTTTGTAATTGTGTTCATACAGTTCTTGGGTTTGTCTTGACAGGTAAAGTCCCAAGTATTTTATATTGTTTATGATTATTTTAAATGGAATTTCTCTTTCTATCTCTTGCTGCTGGGCTTTGTTTGTCATATAAAGAAATGCTGATGATTTATGTGGGTTTATCTTATATCTTACAACTTTGCCAAAGTTGTTAATTATTTCAAGTAGTTTTTTTAGTTGATTCTCTAGGGTTCTCTAAGTATACCATCATATCATTTGCAAAGAGTGATAGTTTTGTTTCCTCATTGCCTATTCTAATTCCTTTTATTTCTCTTTCTTCTGCTATTACTATAGCAAACATTTGTAGTACTATGTTGAATAATAGTGGTGATAATGGGCATCCTTGCTTCACCCCTGAGCTTACTTGGAAGGCTTCTTGTTTATCCCCCATTACAGATAATGCTTGCTGATGGTTTTAGATAGATACTACTTATCATTTTAAGGAATGTTCCCTTTATTCCTATGCTCTCTATTGTTTTTAATAGGAATGGGTGCTGCATTTTGTCAAAAGCTTTTTCTGCATCTATTGAGATAATCATATGATTTCTGTTAGTTTTGTTATTGATATGGTCAATTATGCTGATAGTTTTCCTAATAATGAATCAGCCCTGCATTCCTAGTATAAATCCCACATGGTCATAGTGTATAATGCTTGTGGTATACTGCTGAAATTGCCTTGCTAGCATTTTTGTCAAAATTTTTGCATCAATATTCTTTAGGGAAATTGGTTTATAATTTTCTTTCTCTATTTTAGCTCTTCCTAGTTTAGGTATCAGCACCATATCTCGTTTGGTAGGACTCTTTCTTTGCCTATTTTTCCAAATAGTTTATATAGTATTGGAATTAATTGTTCTTTGAATATTTGGTAGAATTCACTTGTGAATCCATCTGGCCCTTGGGATTTTTTCTTAGGGAGTCCATTAATGTCTTGTTCAATTTCTTTTTCTAAGATGGGGTTATTCAGTCAATCTATTTCCTGATTTGTTAATCTGGGTAATTTATTATTCATAAATATTTATCAACCACTCAGATTGTCAGATTTATTGGCATTTTTCTAATGATTGCTTTAGTTTCTTCTTCATTGATGGTGATTTCTTCTCCCTTTTCATTTTTGATACTGGATATTTGTTTTTTTCTTTCTTTTTTTAAATCAAATTAAATCAAATTGTTTATCTATTTGTTGGGGTTTTTTTTCATAAAACAAGCTCCTAGACTTATTTATTAGCTCAATAGTTTGGTGGGTTTTTTTTTTAACTTTCAATCTTATTAATCTCACCTTTGATTTTCAGGATTTCCAATTTGGTGCTTATCTGGGGATTTTTAATTTGTTCTCTTTCTAGCTTTTTTTTTTTTAGTTGTATGCCCAGTTCATTGATTTGCTCTTTTTCTATTGTGTTGATGAGAGAATTTAGAGAAATAAATTTTCCCATTAGTACTGCTTTAGATGCATCCCATAAATTTTGGCATGTTGTCTCGTTGTTAGCATTCTCTTTAATGAAATTATTGATTGTTTCTATAATTTGTTCTTTGACCCACTTATTTTTAGGATTAGATTTAGTTTCTAATTAATTTTTAATCTATTTTCCACTGCCTTTTGCTGAATGTAATTTTTATTGCATTATGATCTGAAAAGAACACATTTAATATTTTTGCCTTTCTACATTTGATTTTGAGGGTTTTATGCCCTAATACATGGTCAATTTTTATGTAGGTTCCACATGCTACTGAGAAAAAGGTATATTTCTCTTTGTTCCCATTCAGTTTTCTCCAAATGTCTGTCATATCTAACTTTTTTAATATTCTTTTTACCTACTTAGTTTCTTTCTTGTTTATTTTTTGTTTGATTTATCACATTCTGAGAGGGGACAGTTGAGGTCCCCCACTAGTATAGTCTTGCTATTTCTTCCTGTAACTCACTTAATTTCTCCTTTAAGAATTTGGATGCTATACCGCTCGATGCATATATGTTCAGCATTGATATTGCCTCATTGTCTATGGTACCTTTTAGCAAGATGTGGTTTCCTTCCTTATCTCTTTTAATTAGGTCTATTTTTGTTTTTGCTTTGTCTGAGTTCAGGATTGCTACCACTGCTTTTTTTTTTTACTTCAGCTGAAGCATAATAGATTCTACTCCAGCCCCTTACTTTTACTCTGAGTGTGTCTCCCTGCTTCAAATGTGTTTCTTGTAAACAGTATATTGTAGGATTCTAGTTTTTGATCCACTCTGCTATCTGCTTCCATTTTATGAGAGAGTTCATCCCATTCATATTCACAGTTATGATTACTAACTGTATATTTCCCTCCATTTTATTTTTCCTCCTGTTTGTCCTTTCTCTCCTTTCACCCTTTCCCACCTCACTAGAGTTTTGCTTCTGTCTACCCTCTTCCCTGATCTGCCTTCCCTTCTGTCAGTCCCTCCCCTCTGACCTCCTTTCACTTAATCTCTTCCCCTCCTACTTCCCTGGTGGGTAAGATAGATTTCTATATTCAACTGATTGTGTACAATATTCCCTCTTTGAGCCAATACTGATGAGAGTAAGGTTCAAGTAATGTCTATTGCCCATCCTCCCATTTTCCCCTCCACTATATGTGCCTCTTCATGTGAAATAATTTAGCCCATTCTACCTCTCTCTTCCTTCTGCATGCAGTGTACTCCTTTTTCTTATCTCTTAATTTTTTTTTGTCATTTCCTCAAACTCATCTTATACCCATACCCTCTGTCTTTGTATGTTCCTTCTAGCTGTACTATTAGTGATACAGTTTTAAAGATTTACAAATATCATCTTCCCACAGAGGGATGTAAACGATTTAGCTCTTTTGAATCCTTTGCATTTTCTTTTCCCTTTTTACCTGTTTCTGCTTCTCTTGACTCTTGATATTAGAGATCAAATTTTTGGTTTAATTCTGGTCTTCTTCTGAAAGCTTGAAATCCTTCCATTTCATTGAATGACCTTTTATTCCCCCTTGATGCATTATGCTTAATTTCATCACGTAAATGATTCTTGGTTGTAGTCCTAGCTCCTTTGCTTTCTGGAAAATCATGTTCCATGACTTCTGATCTTTTAATGTTGCAGCTGCTAAGTCCTGTGTAATCCTGATTGTGTCTCCCTGACATTTGAATTGATTCTTTCTGGACACTTGCAGTATTTTTCCTTTACCTGATAGTTCTGAAATTTGGCTATAATGTTCCTTGGAGTTCTTATTTTGGGATCTCTTTCCTGAGGTGATTGGTGGATTCTTTCAATGCCTATTTTACCCTTTTATTCCAGGATATCAGGGCAGTATTCCTTGGTAATTTCTTGAGACATTGTCCAGGTCCTTCTTTTGATTATAGCTTTCTTGTAAGTCCACTGATTCTGACATTCACTCTCCTGGATTTATTTTCCAGGTCAGTTGTTTTTCCCATGAGGTATTTTATGTTTTCTTCTATTTTTTCATTCTTTTGAATTTGTTTGTTTGATTCTTCATGTCTCATAGAGTCATTAGCATCTACTTACCCAATTCTAATTTTTAAGGAGCTATTTTCTTCCATTAGCTTTTGTATTTTCTTTTCTATTTGGCCAATTGTACTTTTGAAGGAGTTGTTTTCTTCAGTGGATTTTTGCATCTCCTTTTCCACTTGGCCAATTTTACATTTTAAGCAGTTATTTTCTTTTCCCAAGCTGTTGACTCTTTTTTCACAATTTTCTTGCATTGGGGGGCAGAACCAAGATGGCGGAGGAAAGGCAGTGACTTGCTTGAGCTCTCCCCCAAACCCCTCCAAATACCTGTAAAAATGGCTCTAGACAAATTCTAAAGCAGCAGAACTCACAAAAAGACAGAGTGAAACAAATTTCCAGCCCAAGACAACCTGGATGGTTGATCAGAAAGGTATATTATGCCATGGTGGGAGAGGAACGTAGCTCGGCATGGGTGCGTAGGCCTTAGCAAACCTGGAGCAGACCTCAGAAGACATAATTTTCTTGCATCTTTCTCATTTCTTTTACCAATTTTTCTTCTACCTCCCTTCTATAATTTTTCAGCTCCCTTTTGAACTCTTTCATGAGTTCTTTCTGGGCTTAAGATCATTTCCCATTTTTCTTTGGAGTTCTGCCAATAGGTGTTTTGAGTTTGTGTCTTGATCTTCCCTGTCACCATAACAACTTTCTATGGTCAGATTCTTTTTGTTGTTGTTGTTGGGGTTTTTTGATCATCTTTTCTGGCCTTTTCCCCTTCTTTTAAATTTGAGCTCTGCTCCTGGAGTGGAAGGGGCACTTTCTCAGGTTTCTCATGCCATATACTGCAGGCCCTGGCTGTTTACCTGGTGCTGCCCAGATGTTGCCCTGAGGCCCATGGGGGACCCTCATGTTCAGTGCTGCACTGAGGGGGTGGGGTGGTGGAATGGCTGTTGCTGCTGGAGGATGTAGGGGTCTGGCAGCTTGCCTGGTGCTGAGCCGGGGTCCTAGTTCTGGTGCCTGGCATGCGCTGAGGCAAGTGGAGTGTTTCAGCATTTCTTCATGGCTGTCCTGGAGCATGGGGAGGTCTGGCTGCTAGAGGTTGTCCGGGGTTATGCTGAAGCACATGTCCATTCCTCTGGCTATGCTGAGGCACCTGAGGGGTCTTAGTGCTGGTGCCTACCTGCTCCACAGCACTGGGGCTCAGGATGTACCCTGGTTTGCTGAGGTGGGGCTTGCAGGGATGCTTCCTGTCCTGGACTGCACTCCCCTTTTACCCAAGTGAGACAGACCTTTCCTGCTGATCTTCCAAGTTTCTTGGGCTCAAAGGTTGTTTCACCCCACCTTTTTGCTGGTTTTGCTGTTCTAGAATTTGTTTGGGGGTGCTATTTTATGATTGTTTGGAGGTGAATATAAGAGAGTTACCACGATTTACTGCTTAGTCTGCCATTTTGGCTCCTAGAAGTCCTTTCCAGACTGCTTTTTAAAGCTGGCAGTAAAATTAAGCTAATTAGGTGCTGGTAAAGCCAAACTAGGATATCATTGTTTGGTCTTAGGTCTTAGGTGACAATTTGAACTTGATGGCTTTTGCAGATGCTTTCTAAAACCATCATTCTATTGGACAACCCATTTAATTTCCCTAAGCCTCAGTTTCCTCATCTGTAAAATGAGCATAAAATACTACATGCCCTATCTACCTCATAGTATTGTTGAGGGGCACAAACAAGAAAATATTTGCTAAAGCATTTTGCAACTATTAACCAATTTAAATGGAAATTATAACTATTTTTTTTATAATTGCTGTTATTCTTTAATTTCAGATGAGCATTCTCCAGAATCCCCGGGTATGGCTTGATGCAGCCACTCAGATCTTTTTTTCCCTTTCACTGGCTTTTGGAGGACACATTGCATATTCAAGTTACAATCCACCCAAGTAAGAAGAGTTATTGCTTTGGTTGTGGCTTGATAGCATGAAGGCTATAAAATCATCACTCCTCCTCTTGGTTCTTAGGGCACACTTCCTCCTGAACTTTTAGAGTGATAACAACCACGACATTATCTTCATATTGCACCATTCTTCAAAAGAAAACAAATGGCATTTCTACCAATTAATATTTTGTTTGTTGAGGCATAAGGAAGCAAATAAAGAATTTTTTTAAAAAGCCACCTCTTTCCTATGAGGCCCTGGAGAATTTCTTTAAAGGAAGATCTTTGATTCATCTCAGTGACTGATGACCTCTCTCATGGCCTGTGTCTTCCAAAGTTGCCCAACATGTATCCAGGAAGCAACTTAGACATATGGAACTCTAGCTGGGTAAAAAGTACAGGAAGTCACTGATTTTTGCCACACTTTATTCCTAGAAACCATAATGTAAAATGGATTTTTTCTAAAATGGCTCATATTTTCCCATAGGAACAATGTTAGAATTGAGTTTTGTGGTCCCCACACTGTATTATTAAAAAAAAAAAACCAATACAGCAGGAACAGACCTCAATCATATTTTAAAATGGTAAAAGTATGCTCTATACATTGATTATGCATTGATCATGCAAGTCTACTATAAAGTATTCACACAGCACATAAAAATACAATTTAGCTATGTAACAAATTTGATTTAAAACTAATCTGAGAGTTACAATAAATATTAAACAAGTCATCAGCAATAATTTTGGTTGAATTCCTATAACTAAAAAGGGCATTTAAAAATACTTTGCATGACCAGATCCCTCTTTTAAAAATTACCGATATAAAAATTAGTTTTACCTGTAATTGTGGAAAAAATAAAAATATCAAATCAGAAAAAAAAAAGTTACTCAGAAAAGTTTGATTTAACACTTTCTTTCTTCAATAAATTGTCCTCTAGAAAGAATAGTCAAGAGTCATCTCATTCCATTGGCCTTTAAGTTAGGTTAAGGGTTAGAATCACTTTTTGCAAATAGCCTGCAATTGCCTTTTTTATAAATAGGGGTAGTATATCTATAAACTATTAAATGAGTTGGTTATAAAAGCAAAATCTGCGGTATACAGAAAAAAGGTGCTAGACGCTGGGCAGACACAAAGTTTATATCCAACATTGTCCCTGTCCTCATGGAGCTTACAGCCTCCTAGGAAAATACAACCCACACATAAATAAGTAGAGTATTTTGTTACAAAGGCATCAGAGGTGCAAGCAAAATGCTAGAAAGTGGGGGAAGGTCGTTCTGGCTGAGGGATTAGGGAAAGTTTTATGGATGAAAAGTCATTTGAGTTGGGCTGTAAAGAATGGAGGGGAGGAAGAATTCCATAGCATTTTAACTCTAGAGAAGAAGGAAAGAAGGATTTTAAGAGGTGAAGATGGGGGAGCCAGGCAAGTGCTTTCCAGGCTAGGGAAGTATTGGAACAGAAGTATAGCACAGTATGGGAACTGCAGGTTCTCTGCAAAGAGTGATTCTAACACTTAACCTAACTTAAAGGCCAACGGAATGAGATGGCTTTTGACCATTTCTTCTTTCTAGAGGACAATTTATTGAAGAAAGAAAGTGTTAAATCAAACTTTTCTGAGTACCTTTTTTTTTCTAATTTGATTTTTTTTTCACAATTAAAATTGTTTACAGGGAATGAGGAGTTAAAAACGACACCAAGGTTGTCAGGCCAGGTTACTGGGACGATGGCAGTACCATTGACAATAACAGTGAAGTAAGAAAGAGAGGAAGATTTGGGAAGGAAGAGAACAAATTCTGTTTCTGATAGGTTAAGTTTGAGATGCCAAAGAGATACCCAATTCTAAATGCCCAAAAGGAGGGCTTGTAATGAGAGGCACTAAGATGTTAAGGCCAGGACTTAGAACAGTGCCTGCACATGGTAGGCACTTAATAAATGTTTACTGACTGATTGACCTCTGTGAACTCAATGCTCAAGCCGAGTTAGGGTGCTCCCTGCCCTCTGACCATAAGGCTGTTATACCTCAGGGCCTTTTCTTAGGCTGTCCCCCATATCTGCAATGCCCCTTCTCCTTTCTTTCACAGGAATATCTGCGAGAAAGATAGCATCACCATAGTCTTTAAAATCCAGCTAACAGAATCCTAAATTTTGGAGCAGATAGGAAGGAACCTTGGAGCCACCTAATCCAACCCCTTTATTTTACAGATGAGGAAACAAAGGCACAGAGAAGCTGTGACTTACCCAAGGTCATATGGGTAGCGAGTGACAGAGATAGCATTTGAACCTGGGCCCTCTGACCCCAAATCCAATGCTCTTTCTACTGTACCAAGCTGGTCCCCTGCTCACATGTTCACCTTCTTCCAAAAGTGTTCCCAGATGCCCTGGTCGTAAAACCCATCCCCATCTGAGTTCCCATGGCTCATTGTCAGGACATCTCCCATGCACTTATCACACAATGTGGTGGATTTTAGCTCTCTGTGTTGTTTTCTTATCCCCCTGTAAGCAACTTGAGGGTAGGAAGCCATCCCTTATCTGAATCCCTTTTCTCCTCCAATGACTAGCACAGTACTTAGTAAATGTCTGTTGTATTATCTTGTACTTTTGTTTAAAAAAACAAACCCTCTAAACATCAATGAAAATGCTTTTATTTGTTTCTTTCCCAGGAATGACTGTGAAAAAGATGCTGTCACCATAGCCGTAGTGAACAGCATGACCTCCCTCTATGCTTCTATTGCTGTTTTCTCTGTCCTAGGCTTCAAAGCAACAAATGATTACTGGGCTTGTGTGGACAGGTAGAATCTTATTGCAAACACTGTAGCTGGAGCAGAATGTTAGCTTTGTTTGTTTGTTTGTTTTTTTCTTTTTTGGAGGGTGGGGTGTGGCAGGGCACAGGGGAGGGAAGGATAGGGGTATAACTGAACTTTTCCAGGAGTTGGGTAATCACAAGTAATATAAATATTGCTAGTTATTATGCCTAAATGCCTATGTTTCATCAGCAGTGGAGCCAGGAATAGAATTCAAACTATTCTGACCCCAACAAAAAGCAGCTATATTGAAAAAAACTACAATTTCACAACTGTAATGAAAGATAGGGGCAGCTAGGTGGCACAGTTGATAGACTGCTAGGCCTTGAGTCAGGAAGAGTCATCTCCCTGAGTTCAAATCCGGCCTTAGACACTTACTAGCTGTGTGACCCTGTGTAAGTCACTTAGTCCTGTTTGTCCTCAGTTTCCCCATCTGTAAAATGAAGTAGAGAAAAAAATTGGCAAACCAATCCATTATCTTTGCCAAAAAAAATCCCAAACGGGGTCACAAAGAGTTGGGCACAACTGAAATGACTGAACTACAATGAAAGATAGGCAACGAGGAAACCAAAAGTCTTTCCTGGGATGCTCAGTATGCATATTCTATGTACTTGTAAAAGTGTGCTGTGGTCTTGGGTTGTCAGTCTCCAAGTTAAAACACTTAATTGAGGAGAAAATAACTATTTCCCAATGTAATAATGCTAGACAGAAAACTATAAATAAGACCGATAGAACAATCTACTTCCCAATAAATTTTGATGGGCACCAGGAAAAGAAGAACATGATATACAAGTATCTTAACCAAAGATTCATTGTACTTCATTGTACTTCCCCAGCAGCAAACCTGAAATTAAAGTAGGGCAATTGGTGCTCCATCCAACACGTGTAGAACCCAATGACGTTGCCGACACCCCTTTAGCAGCAAAGAAACACCTGAGCTTACCACCAGTTAGCACAATTACTTGGTCAAAATGGGAAGCTACTGAACCGCTGCTTCCTTCCTCTAAACTCATCCGATCCCCATCCCAGACTTCTCATGACATCCTCAGCAGGGGCCTTTTGGTACCTCCAGGTATTTTCTCCCGTAGGTCCAAATGTCCTACGGTCTATCCTACATGTGCTCATTAAGAGAATTTAAGAAGTTGGTTTTCTTTTATCCACTCAGCCTGTCACTTAGATGACTAGTTATAGCTCTAACTCTAGATTTGGCCAAGCAGGGTCAGCTGGGCTCCATAGAAGCTGATGGGCTGCCCCTTTTTCTTCCTCTTTGTTTTTTTTTTAATTTTCATAATCAGCATCATCATCACCAATATGAACCCCTTGGTTATACATGGCTTTCCTGATGTATTCATTTGAGTTTTTGTTTAGTCATTTTTTAGTTGTGTCCAACTCTTCATGACCCCATTTGAGGTTTTCCTGGCCAACGTATTGGAGTGGTTTGCCACTTCCTTCTCTGGCTCATTTTACAGAAAAGGAAACTGAGGCAAATAGGGTTAAGTGACTTGCCCAGGGTCACGCAGCTAGTAAGTCTGAGGCTGGATTTGAACTCAGATCTTCCTGACTCTAAGCCCAGTCTTTTATCCACTGCCCCACCTAGCTATCCCTATTCATTGGAGTCACTCCTCAGTTTTGGGCAGCAGAGATCACTGAAAGCCAAGAAAAACTTCCAAGCCTTGTTTAACTAACATTTTCCACCTTCTTTACCCCCCACTCAGAAAGAACTACTGGCCAGCAGAAAGAGATTAGCATGGCTGTGTTGCACAACCTGATGTTTCCTCTGTTCTGCCCCAGGTGCTAGTGATAGAATCTCTAAACTTGGAATTTCAGGCATTGTGCTAAGTCCTAGGGTGACAGTCTGAGGGTATGACCCGCTTCCCAGGACCCATCAAAAATGCCACCCTTGTTTGTGAAGGCTTATTGGCTCTGCTTTTCCTGCTTACCACGTGATAATTCAAAGGAAGGTGAACCTATCTTTGGCCCGACCCCTATGACCATTTTATCAGTCTTAGAAGAATTTAATGCCCTCTTCAAAAGAGAAAACCTACCTCAGAACAGAATTTATTGGATTACATAGTTAAGGCAAAGTTTCCTCTACATGTGACACAGATAGGTGATTATTGTTTTTGAGTCATTTCAGTCTTGTCCTACTCTTTATGACCCCATTTAGGGTTTTCTTGGCAAAGACACTAGAGAGGTTTGCTATTTCCTACTCCAGCTCTTTTTACAAATGAGGAAACTAAGGCAAACAGGGTCAAGTGACTTGCCAAGGGTCACACAGCTAGTAAGTATCTGAGGCCAGAGTCGAACTCTGGAAGATGAGTCTTCCTGACTCCAGGCCTGGCACTCTATGTGCCAGCTAGCTGCCCTAGACAGGGGATTAGGAAATCGAATTAAGTAGCACCTCCCCAAAAGAGACATTGATACTCCATCCCCTTTGCTGGTGTAGACATGGAGGTGCCTCACAATAAGATCTAAAGTCTGGATCTGGAGGAATTAAGCCCCATCTTGGAAAACTTACCCTAACAGTTATTTCCTAGAAAATGATGCACCCCTCCCATTGACCACATTTATAGTGGCAATAAACATCTTTCAAAGCTTCTGAATTCAATGACCTGCAAGTGATTTTGTGTACGCCGAGTAAAATGCTCACAAAGGCATCTGCTCCTCTCTCTGACAGAAATATCATCAGCATCATCAATGAGTTTGATTTTCCAGACCAAAGTATCCAGCGAGAGGACTACCTGGCCTGCTTCACACACTTGAATTCAACCCAATCAGGCAGAATGGCACGGCTCCAGCTGAAGAGCTGCCACCTGCAAGATTTTCTGGACAAGGTAGTGACACTCAGACCAAACTCTGGGATCAGTAAAATACAGTGTGGCTTAGTGGAAAGAGAACGGGATTTATGAGAGGCCCAGGCTGCCACAAGAACCATCTTGATACAGCCCTTCCCCAAGCAGGGTCTGTAAACTGCATGTGATTGAAGAAGAAAAGGCATTTAAGACTGTAGGACTTTAAACACAGGGCTGGAAGGAACTCTAGTGAACACCACCTCTAACCTTCTCATTTGACAGAAGAAGCAACCAGAGGGACAAGGACGAAGTTAATGATGTGACTTGTCTCCCTTCTCCCTCTACTTTTGTCTGAGACTCAGTGGCAGAGAAAGCACTCATGGCATATTTAGTTAAAGGGGATAGAAAGGCGATGAATTCTCCCTCTTATTTTCCATTAATTTAATACATGACCATGGTTAATTATAATCACTTATTGCCTCCATGTGTAAAATGGGAAAATCATGCTATATCCTCACTCACAAGGATCCCACCAACGTGCACTTAAGGGGCTTTGAAATCTGTGGGTTGGAAGAGCCACATTTCTCCCTGTTTCATTTAATTATTCCCACAAAACATCGCCTGCTGGGGGAAAAAAAATATATATATATATATATATATATATATATATATATATATATTTCATTCTACAATATCATCAAATTACAGCAGTTTTAAGTAACATCAGTGTAGATTCTGGCTAAGGGACCCCCAACTTCTTTAACAGTGTAGAATGTTCTTCCTGAATACCACTGTCAGGGGAGGAAAAAAAGAGAACAAAAAAAAGAAAAAGAACAGAAGGGAAGATGGGGGAGAACTGAGGGAGGGTGAAATAGAAAGAAGAAAGAAATGAGGATGATCTCATTGGTTTAAAGCTAAAAGGTTCACCTTCAAGGTCTCTTTTTCAAACCTCCTCATAGATGAGGAGACCATGGCCAAGACAGGTTAAGTGATTGCAGGGGTGGGAAACCTGAGGTCGCTGCACTTGGGGACCGAGGGAGCCACATGTAACCTTGAGGCCACAGGTTCCCCACCCCTGGGATTTGCCCAAGCTCACACATGGAATAAGTGGAGACATAAAAGAAAGAAGTATGTATACATACATTCTATGTCCAAGCAGGGAATAAAAAATAGAGGCTGAGGTCAGTCCAGACCATCTGCACCCTTCTTAGGCTGTCTAATCCTGGACAAGAAGATAAGTTTCCAGATCCCCTCCAAGACAAACAAAAAGCTTATCCTGCCATTTGAAGGGCTCTTAAACGGGTTTCCATGACTTTATTTTGAAAAAAAAAATTGATAACGGTCGTTGTTGTTGTTCAGTTGTTCCAGTCATGTTCTTTGTGACTCCATCTGGGGTTTTCTTGGCAAAGATACTGGAGTGGTTTGTCGTTTCATTCTCTAACTCATTTTACAAATAAGGAAACAAGATAAAGTGACTTGCCCAGGGTAGTAAGTGCCTGAGATTGGATTTGAACCCAGGAAGATGAGTCTTCCTGACTCTAGAACTGGCATTCTGTCCACTGTGCCATTTAATTCATTGCCTTTGTACTCATATTTTATGCATTTAGAAACATGATTCTGAGAAAGGGTCCACAGATTTCATCAGACTGCTGAAGGGCTCCAGGACACAAAAAAAAGCTGAAGAACCTCTGACTTAAGAGCCATAAGAAATCCCATCTCTGACACTTAGTACCTGGGTGACCTTACACTAGTTACTCTGGGCCCAAGTTACCTCATCTGTAAAGTGAGGTGGACTAGAAGACCCTTGAGGTCTCTTCCAGCCCTAGATCCCAAATCCTATCACTCAAATATGACTGTGAACCAACTCTCCCAAAGCCCAGGGCTCGACATGGCTGTGCATGTGTCTATGTCTGTGTGTTCCGCAGAGTGCCTCTGGTACCGGCCTGGCCTTTATCATCTTCACAGAGGCTATGGTGCACATGCCTGGCTCTCCTGGATGGGCGGTGCTCTTCTTTGGGATGCTGTTTTCCTTGGGTCTTTCTTCTATGTTTGGGAATATGGAAGGAGTACTGACGCCTATCCTAGATATGCAAATTCTGCCCAAGTCAGTCCCCAAGGAATTAATAACAGGTAAGTGAAGAATTAGTTCATTCTTTTTTTTTTTTTTTGGCTAGGCAATGTGCCCACAGTCACACAGCTAATAAGTGTTATGTGTCTGAGGCTAGATTTGAACTCAGGTCCTCCTGACTTCAGGGCGCCACCTAGCTGCCCCATTGTTCATTCTTAAAATACTCTTAATTACTCACCTGTTATTCTCCCTCCTCACTCTCTCCCCCACCTCATCCCCTCCCTCAAAGTTTACTTATTAGCCTGAGCCACCCCTCTCTATCTCCTTCCCCCTTTTCTGGGCTCCTCCTCTAATTGATAGGCTCAGTAATATTATAACCCTCTTAGGAGGGATAAGGGTTAGGAGATCTCTGAGCAGTTTTCACCAATATAAAAAGGTGCCTCTGAGTGCCCTTCCAAGTTTGGGCTTCTCACTTCATCTCCAGCAGAACTTGAGGTAGAGAAAAAAGAATGAGAATAGTCCTCTTCCCGCCTTCCCCCCCCCCATCTCTGGCCTAACTCCTACCCCTAATCAAGGCTGTGTCCTCCCATCTACTCAGTATTTGGGCTCTGGAGAAGTAGAATAGATGAAAAGAATAGGAAAGATGAAAAGGAAGAGGGGAAGGGAAGAAGAGGAAGGAAAGGAAGAGAGGAAGGGAAGAGAATGGGGAAAGGGAAGGAAAAAGGGAAGAGAAGAGGGAAGGGAAGAAAAGAGGGGAAGGGAAAGGAAGAAGGGGAAGGAAAGGAAGAGAGGAAGGGAAGGGAAAAGGTGAAGGGAAGAGGGGAAGGGAAAAGGGGAAGGGAAGAGAAGAGGGGAAGGGAATATGGGAAGGGAAGAGAAGAGGGGAAAGGAAAGGAAGAAGACTTAAAGATGGGCAAACCACTTCCTAAGGATTAGAGTTATCCCAAAGTAGAAAGGGCACCCTTCCTTCTTTCTGGAGGAAGTGGACTCCCAATCTTTGGGAATCTTTAAGCAGTCTGTAAACACTGGATGATGATTTGTCATGTGTGTTATAGAGATGATTCTTTTTGTGGGCATGGGCTGAAGTCCCTTACTACTCTGAAATCTGAGATTCTGTAAAAAGTGTTTTTTATATGCTTGCAAGTAGCAAAAAAGTATAGTTGCTACTGCCCCTGGATACCATGTCCCCTTCCCTCTTTTCTTCCCTTCCCTTCCACCCACCAATATAATTTTTTCCTCTTTTTTTAGCTGTGACATGCCTAATTTCCTGCCTCTTCGCTCTTTGTTTCACACTACAATCTGGCAATTACTGGCTTGAAATCTTTGACAATTATGCAGCTTCCTTGAACCTATTGATCTTTGCCTTCTTTGAAGTTATTGGTGTCAGTTATGTTTATGGATTGACAAGGTAACGTTAACCTGGCTTGGAGTTCTTTCTTCTTGTGGGGACTAGGGAGCCCTTTCTCAGTAATGCTTGAAGGGGATCTGAGATTAGGCCTACCAGCCAAACATCTGTCCTCCTCCCTTTGGTGAAGTGAAGGAGAGCCCAGGAGCAGTCCAGTAGAGGTAGGGGTAAGGAACTCAGCCAGTTAGAAATATCTCCCTCTAAAGGCTTCAGTGAGACTCTAATGTATACCCACAAAATAAAAAGACCTAGAGGAAGGCATCTAGCATATTAGGTGGATTTTCTGTTGGTCTGTAGGAGAATACATATAACCATCATACAAGATGAGAAGACATGGATGGATTTTGATCCATAACAGTGGAGGGAATGGTGGGAGTGTGACCATCTCTAAGGTCACACACATATTGAGATATTGAAATCTATAAGTGCAATGTTTTTTAATAACAAAAAGTGTTTATCAAAAAATATGAGAGGCAGAATGGTATAGCGAATAAAGAACTAGCCTTCTAGCCAAGAAGACCCGAGTTCAAGTCCCCTCTCTGACACGTCCTGGATATGAGACTCTGGACAAAGAACTTAACCCCTTAGTGCCCTAGGCAACTGTCTAAGACTATAAATTAAAGAGAAGATGCCTACTTGCATTAGAGAATTTCTTCATTCAGGAGTTCTTTCTACCAGTAAAACCACAGATCTGAAAAAAAAAAAAAAACAAAAAAAACCACACAGATCTGGTCCCTGTTCCTGCCCAGAAATATTATTAGCCCTAGGGTCATCTACAGTATCATTCTACAAAATGAGTGAATATCAGACTCTGCTTTCAGAACCACACATCTAAGGAATCATATTTTGTCCTCTTGTGTATGGCTGATTCCAATATGGAAAGAAAAGATCTATCTTAGGCATGTCCTGAAACCAGCTAGACAGACCTTCTACTAAGCGGTGTTTAAGAAAGAGTTAATATTATTGAAAATGTCATTTTAGTCATCCTGTTCTGTTACTTTTTGATTTCAGCAAGCAGTGGTACAGAAAATGAAGCAGCAGGGTTTTCTTTACAAAACAAAAATTAAAGTAGAGAGATTAAGACCACAGTTTTTGTTCAGTAAGACTGCATCTTGTCTGTTTTGCTTTCCATTGTTTAACTGTCTGGCGAGTGGTTTTAGGAAAACTTGAAGAAATGAAGCCAAGATATAAATAGGCTTGTTTATGTCTTCTTATTCCAATAATTAAAAGGCCAGTGAGTTCAATGGTTGAGGATGACCTTTGCTACTCAGCTTACATTCCCTCTACACCTTAGCAGAAGGTTTAATATTTCCATGAAGTCAAAAAACTCACCACCTGATAATCAAACATCCGGCATTGAGCCTTTATGAACTTAATGGGGCTGGTCCTTAGATAATATATACCTTATCACTGGCTTTGGTATTTGAAGTCATTCTATCTTGAAAGGGCTTGCCAAAGTATTCAATTTCCTCCCTGGAAAAAGCTTTCAGTACTTAATTTGATAACTTCATAGCCTATTTCTTAAAAACAGTCAAATAAAATATGGTTTTATCTATGACATATGATAGTCACCTCCCTAGTAATGATATAAAAAGGGAGAGGGAAAAGGTAATCGTCACTCAGAACTGCCAAAGCTGGAACCTGGAATATTTTCTTAATAAATATACAGGGGCAATTTGATGGGGTTTATTAGAATCTAGGGTGTTCATTCTTTGCCAGTAAAAAGGAATTGAAACATGCCCATGACATTCAGAAAAGATGATCCTGCTTAGAGAGTCTAATTGAAGAGACTCAAAGTCAGGGCTAGGATAGGAGGTGAGCCAAGAATGTGAACTGTTCTATTCATGTGGTAGGTTCTGTGACGATGTGGAATGGATGACGGGAAGGCGGCCCAACATCTACTGGCAGGTGACATGGAAAATCATCAGTCCTCTGCTGCTGCTGACCATCTTTATAGCCTACATCATCCTAATGATACTAAAGCAGCCAACGTATGGATCCTGGGACCCACAATATGTAGGTCTCTTTGTTTAAGAAATTCAGGGAGTCCCACCCATTCATCCCTCTGGGCCCAACAAAGAACCAGATTTCTCAAGTCTCTAGAATCAGTTTAAACTTTAGGGCTGTGGATATCTTTGGGCCAAAAATCTGTCTCCATAGCAACAAAGATCCAGAGAATCTATGAATTGGATAACCATTACCTAAATAATCAATTCAGATCAGATCTACCAACAGTATTAAGGCCCCAATCTCATAAGCTGCCCCTTCTTCCCCAAATCTTACTTGCTAAAACCTGAGTATAGTATATGTTTGGGCTCTCAGTAAGAGAAGAACAGTGAAAATTGCAAAGGCCAAGAGTGCAGTAATGATAAAAATGAAATGCCTTTATTTGAATAGAAAGAAGTTTAAAAAACTGTCATAGTAAGTATATATTATGGTATGCTAATTTTACATAAATATTTATCAGTGTTTAGTTATCCTTTCAAATGTGGTACAACAGATAGGGTGCTAGATTTACAGTTGGAGAATTGGGTGCGAGTCCTGAATCTCACTACTTGTGTGGCCACAGGAAAGAAATTAATCTCTCTGGGCCTCAGTTTCCTCATGTGTAAAATGAGGGGAATGGACTTTAGACCAAAAGTGTCAAACTCATAAGTAGCATGCACTTGCAAAATTCTTGAGCGTGCCAGAACCAGATTAAAATGTCACTGGGAAATATTTACCAAAATAAATGAAAATACAAGATAGATAATGTCAATTTGTGGCTTTCTAAGTCAATATGTGGTCTGTAGAGATCCATTTCTATTTGAGCTTGACACTGTTGGTCTAGACCATGCTGCAACCCCAAAGAATACATCATAATTATATAGCACTACATGGTTTTCAGAATTCTTTTATCTATAGCCATGCCTCATCTAACGTTGCTAATCGGTGCCAGAAAAACACGAGGTTAAATGAAATAATTACAGAGGCATATGTAGTCACCAGAATGACATTATAAATGAGTAATGGTTATGGGACAGTTTTCAGACTTTATGCTGAGGTTCAGTGACAACTCATCAATGATGTAATTGTAAAACAACTTTGGCTGGGAAAACCTAAATACGATTCTGAGGATATCATCTCATTTAAATTATGCTAATTCGACTCTCAAGGAGCCAATGCTATCTTGATCATAATAAGGTCCTTGCCCATCTTGCCCCTCAGATGAAGCTGCTTATGTTGCAGGGAGTGCATCCTTGGGAGGTCTTATCCCGGCATTTCCAATTAATGCACAGAAGTATACACTTTTCTTTTTCTTGTAATTCAGCTAGGACTCTGAGCTCATTGATCCCAGGAAGGAAGATGGCTGAGGTTCCTTCCACAGCTAAAGTTCTAAGTCAGCAAATAATACAAATCTAATTGCTCCAGTTGGTTGGAGGAGCTCTTCCCATTTTAATTCTTCTTACTGTCAATGATCCTTATTCAAGGAAACTCAAAACCAGCCCATGCCATCTCCCCATGCAACTTGGGGCACACCAGCAAGCTTTGTGGTTGTTCTATTCCTACAGGATGATTTCCCAATCAAGCAAGAGAAATTCTACCCTGGCTGGGTGCAAGTCGTCTCTGTGATGTTGTCATTACTTCCTTGCATTTGGATACCTGGGATAGCAATTTTTCAGCTAATCAACAGGAGGAAAAGAAAAGGGAAGAATTCATGGCCAGCACCTGATGGCAAAAACTCTATTAATCTGTAGGGGACTAAAGGGGTGATTCTATGTAAAAGAGGAAGGAAATAGGGGACTTAACGTCATAAACTGTGAATCTGGCTTGTCGGGGTTGTTTTGTCACTTGGACAAGAGGGACAGTATTCAGCATCAGTATGAAGAACAGTTTATTCAGTTGGTACCCACGACAACATTCTCTCTCCTAGCTCCAGAATATTCTACTCCTCAGCTTTCCCTTAGTTACTGGCTCACAAATATATTTCCCATTTGGATATCAATAATGCACAGCAGTGCAGTGGATAGAGTGCTGGGCCTAGAGTCAGGAAGACTCATCTTCCTGAGTTCAAATCTGGCCTCAGACACTTACTAGCTGTGTGACCCTGGGCAAGTCACTTAACCCTGTTTGACTCAGTGTCTTCATCTGTAAAATGAGCTGAAGAAGGAAATGGCAAACCACTCCGGTATCTTTGCCAAAAAAGCCCCAAATAGGGTCACAAAGAATCAGACGCGACTGAACAATACATACCAAAGGAAAGCATCCTGGCCAGCAAGAGAAATGGACTCAGCATATTCCCTATGTGCCTCAAAATGGACCATTTCAAGCGATGTCAGCTGCTCTATGGACAAGAATCTAGAACCTCACCTCCGCCACTCTCCTGCTCTCCTCTCCACCTGCCCCATCACTCACATGTTGCCCGTGCCTACCTTGTTTTCTATTAGCTTTACTACGTCTGGTTCCATCTCCTTCCTCTTTCTCACAAGCCATCTACTCACCATATGTTCTAAATTAAGCTCTATACACTTTTCAGGGTCTACTTCACAGGCCTGTGATCACACCAGTGTAAAGCTACAACAACAACAACAAAAGAAAAATAGAAAAGAAAATGTGTACTAAGAAGTTCAATGGTGAAAATGTCCTCTTGCTAAACATATAAATCAATATAATATTTAAAGATGGCAAAATGTCAGATGAAGGATCAGCCATGTTGCTTATCTTTAAGCCACTTCTCATGATTAAATTTGATTTAAGCAATATGGTGATTTGTCTGTTCTTTAAAGGCAGAAATCGCTGGAACCTCTGAAATGATGGACAAGGTTATCAGATGTATTTGTCAAGGTCACACCATTCATGAAAACTGTCTATAGTCCATACATGAATCTATTTACCTCGGAGCCTGACCCTTAGATCATGTCTACTCAAGAGAAAGTTGTACTGCTAGAGGCAGTCTCTGATCAGCAGACCTTGTAGATGCCTAAAAGAACCTAAGAATCCACTGGGCTTGGCCATCCTCAATTGTTTTCTCCCCTGTGGCATGGGGGTTAACCTACCCCCACCCTCTTCAAACACACCAGGTCCCTCTGAAAGCTACCCCAAGTCTGAGGCCCATTGTGGGTCAGCATCCACTCAGAATTGCTGCTTCATGAGCCTCTGCTAATGTGTTTCTTTTACTAACCAATTAGATGACATGTTAGTTTGAAGTAAAAGATATTTACTTTGACAAAATAAAAAGGTAAGTGATGAGAAATATCCCCCATATCCAGAAGGACACATTCTTCCACAGTGGATCATATCCCACATGGAAGAGGGGACAAAAGGAAGACATGTGGTCAGGGTAACTCGCATTCCTTGGTGGGCAGGGTTCCTCGCCGGAACACCTTTCTGCCTCTGCTCCAGAACTGCTGCTTGCTTCCCTACCAAGATGCCTATGTTTTCTGCTGAAGTCATTGGGCTGCAGGCCAGACTGTCTGCTCACTGGAGGTGCAGCCAACTCGGCTGGCATCACTATCGAGCTGCCCTCTGCTCCTCTCAGCTGGTACCTACCAAGCTGCCCTCTGCTTTTCTCAACTGTCATTTCCAGTGAGTTGCTAATGTCATGTGTCTTTTTCTAGTCCACAAAAGAGGAGTTCTCAGATCTTTTAGCAGAATGACTCAGGGACCATCTAGTTCTTTGGTCCCAGCTAACCAGCAGAAGTTCTCAGGCTTCATAAAATCTGTCTTTTGAACTCAAATGCTTTTGCTGCTATTCAGATTCTCATAGTCTAACGCAGTGGTCCTCAAATTTTTCCACAGTAGTAGGGCCCTTTTAAACAAAATTTTAGCAGATCTGTTGTAGTTGAATTTTCTAAAATTGTTTTTTTTTTAATACACATTAACAAACAACACAAAAAATACAAACTAAATACAAGCTTGTGGTATTTCAGGGTTCTTTGTATCATAGTTTAAAAAACACTAGTCTAAACTTTTATTTGAATTATGGCTAGAAAATTCCCTTTTAACTCCTATATTATTATACTCCTGGTTGCCTAAATTCCAACAAATCAGGGATGTTCTGGAGTCAGTTCATGCTGGCTGGTGAGTCAATTGTTAAATTTTTAGCATGAACATCTACGTATTAGAAATTGGTAGGGGCAGCTAGGTGGTGCAGTGGATAGAGCTCCAGCCTTGGAGTCAGGAGGACCTGAATTCAAATCCAGCCTCAGACTCTTGACACTTACTAGCTATGTGTCCCTGGGCAAGTCACTTAACCCCATTGCCTCACCAAAGAACATAAATAAACAAACAAAAAAAGAAATTGGTAAACACTACAAATCAGGGCTGGATTTATTGTTTTGTTGATTATCTGCCCTAGACTTAGGAAAATGATGGAGAAAATGTTAGCAATGCAGATCAAAACTAAAAGCTTATCTTGCCTTTTTTTTGAGAGCCAGTTGTTAAATACTTACCAGTATTCCCTGCTACAAATCACCCTGGGAGGTCTACTTTGGGAAACAGCAGAGGCACTAAGTATAGGTATGGTAATAAGGTATTCTTTTCAGTCCCTATCACATCCATGGGCTAAGCTGGATACATGCAAATCCTCTCCAGGGAAAGACTGAAGATATTGGGGAAAGCTAGCCATCTTTTCCTTACCTCCCCCACCCCAAATCCCTGCACTGTGAAGCTGCTGACCTTTGTCCTACTTCCTCCCAGCAACCAAACTGTGGTACTCTCAAATACTGATCTGTTTACTTCTTAAATGTTTATTGAGATGACACAAGTGACTTTTGATGACTCATCTGGTCCCTACTGTTTCTTCTGGATGGTCATAAAAGGCTCTAGCTGGTCAGGGCCTCTGTAACCACTCAGCTTCTCTTCTTCTGAGTCTGATAAGCTTTTGCAAACATTTCTTTGCTAAATAAGGGGCGCCAGATGCTGCTGAATCAACAAGGCTGGGCCATGTAGATCCATTAAAAAAAAATTCATCATAAAAGGAGGAGATAATTACTGGAAGCTCTATCATATAGATTCACAAACGATTACCAATCCAAATAAAATGTACAAAAATATATCTATTTATGTACAATCCTTATTAGCCCTATTAGATAATGAACAAGGGCAGCTAGGTGGCATAGCAGATACAGTGCCAGCCTGGAGTCAGGAAACTCATCTTCCTGAGTTCAAATCCAGCCTTAGACACTTAATAGCTGTGTGACCCTGTGCAAGTCACTTAGCCTTGTTTGCCTCAGTTTCCTCATCTGTGAGATGACCTGTAAAAGGAAATGGCAAATCACTCCAGTATCTTTGCCAAGAAAACCTCAGTGGGGTCACAAAGAGTTGGACACAATTGAAACAACCAAATAACAAAATAATAAACTTCTGTAAAATTATCTAAACAAAGATAAAGCAAAGATCTAGGGAGAAAAAGAGGACACAACACAGAGAGACTTCTACACAAACCAGGAGTGACTGAGGCACCTTCAGAGCTATGTGGCTGTGGTCGGCTAAGTGGCACGGTGAATGGAGCATTGGCCTTAGAGTCAGGAGGTCCTGAGTTCAAATCCGGCCTCAGACACTTGACACTGGCTGACCTTGGGCAAGTCACTTAACCTTGACTGACTCCCCCAAAAAAAGCAAAAAAAAAAAAAAACCAGAGAGATGCGACTGCTGCCTGGCTACAAAGGAGGCACCCAATAAGCTTTCAGTAACCAGTACAGATAAATTTCTAATTAAAACCATTTTCCCCTGGCTGTTTGCTCAGTAAGTGCCATCTAGTGGTAAGAATGTTGGATTCAGAATCAAAGGACCTGGATCTGAAACCTAGCTCTGCCACTCATTACTTTTTGACCTTGGACAAGTAACAACCTATCTGGGCTTCTCAGTATCCTCATCTGCAAAACTGGACTAGAACACCTCTAAAGGTCCTTTTCTTGCTCTAAATCTGTGCTGAATGACCTATGCTTTCTATTCTCAGACCAGTAGGGTGAGGCAGGAGGAGGGAAACAAAGCTGAGCTAAGCACATTCCGTTCTTATAATAAACAGTTCTGTGAATTGCTTTATCTCTTCTTGTTCAGTCTGGAGATGTGCAACTTGGTCATCTTAGCAAGCTCCCAAGTAAGTCCCTTTAAAAGAGTCCAGGGTCAGTCTGCAAACCCAACCACAGGTAGCAGCACCAGGAACTAGAGAAAAGTTTGAAACAGGAAAACATAGGATTGCTTGCAAATATAAATTCATATTCCATGACTGTCTCCTTAATTTCAGTGTCATGGAGGGGAAAAAACAAACAAACCCTAACTCCAAAACCAAACTCTTTATTAAGGCTTTAATCAAGACTTGAAAATTGTCTCTGACATTTGTTAAACCTGGAGAGAAGACTGAGGGGGTGAGAGCTGAGCAAGTCAGGGAGGGGGTATAGAGATAACACCTTATCTTCAAGCATCCGGAAAAGGTATGGGGGAAAGAAGGATTAGATTTGCTTGGTGTCTCTGTAAGGGGCAGAACTAAGACCAAATAAGTGGGTGGAGACAGACTGAGACTTCAAGGAAGGAAAAACTTCCTAATGAGCGACATGGAAAAGTGAAACGAGCTATGTAGGGAAGTAATGAGTTCCTCTCACTACACATTTTCTAGCAAGAGGCTGGATAACCATTTATTGAGGGTAGTGTAAAGACAGAACACTTATTTAAGTGCTTACTGGGTGTCGAATGCTCTGCAAAATCCTAGGGGCACAGCTATAATTAAGCAAATTAAGTCCCTGTCCTGAAGAAACTTACATTCTAATAAAAGAAGACAACATGTAAAATGGAGCTTTGTTCTCCTCAATTTAATACCTATTGGAGCTTCGGTAAAGACCTTGGTTGCCTCCCCAACCAGCTATAAAGGAATATGCCCCAGAGAAGCTCAAAAACCCTTATGTCACCCAGTCAGACCTGCAGTCATTGTCAATGCCCCCTTTTGCCATCAGAGAGGGGTCTGAATATCAGCTAGCTACCACTTCCCTAGGAATCTTCTCTTCCTCCACTAGCAGGAATCAGCAAACACGCCCAGGTCTAGGCTCCCTTCCCCCAGTGCTTGGTTCTGGTCAACCCACTTAACCCAACAA